GCACGCTGCTCACATACTGGCACCTTTGAATGTTTTTCTGTCAAATTCAAAAAAGAACGATAAAACTCCAATCGATTGGACCCCTGATGCTGATTCGGCTTTCACGCAGATTAAGGATCAAATTGCTAGTGCCACTCTTCTCTTCCATCCTGAACTTGATGCGGAAACGCGACTTGTTTGTGACGCATCTGACTTCGGAATGGGCTCTGCCTTGGAACAACTTGTTTCCGGTTCTTGGAGGCCTTTAGCCTTTTTCTCTCGCAAATTCACTCCTGCTCAGAAAAATTACAGCACCTATGACAGAGAATTGACTGCAATTTTTGAATCTATCAAATATTTCCGTCATTTTCTCGAGGGACGTAATTTCACAATTATTACAGATCATAAACCATTAACTTTTGCATTTAAACAAAAATCTGACAAGGCATCACCTCGTCAGCAACGTCAATTATCTTATATCTCTCAGTTTTCCACAGCAATTGAATTTCTTAATGGATCAGAGAATGTTATCGCTGACGCTTTGTCGAGAATCGAGTCGGTGGCTTTTTCTTCGGAAATTAGTCTTGTTGAACTTGCGCAGGCCCAAGCATCGGATGAAGGTTTAAAGAGGGCATTGAAAAATTTGGACTGGTCAATTCGTTTAAAGAAATTCATTTTCGGACCTGATAACATCGAGTTGTTTTGTGATACCTCTGGTGATAACTTACGTTTATTTATTCCAACTTCTTTTACAGAAAGGATCATCAGATCATTCCACTCTTTGTCACACCCAAGTGCTCGCGTTTTGGATAGAACCATTAGGAAGTGTTATGTGTGGCCGGAAATGCACAAGCAAATTGCACAATTTTGCAAAGCTTGTATTGAGTGCCAAAAAGCCAAGATTTCTCGACACAATGTCTTGTTGCCGTCTCAGTTCGTTTCTCCAGAGTCACGCTTTGAACACGTCCACATGGACATAGTAGGACCTCTGCCTGTTGATCAGGATTATCGATACTGCCTTACTATGATAGATCGTTTTTCGCGTTGGCCTGAGGCCGTTCCAATTAAAAACATTGAAGCTATAACCATTGCACGTGCATTCGTTGACACCTGGATCTCACGATATGGAACTCCCCAGACGGTGACGACCGATCAGGGAACCCAGTTCGAGTCCAGGGTGTTCGCTGCATTATTACAGTTGTCAGGATCTTATAGAGTCCGGTCTTCCGCCTACCATCCCGCATCCAACGGTATGGTGGAACGTTGGCATAGGACTCTGAAAGCATCGATAATGTGTTATTCGGCTTCTAATTGGACCCAGATCCTTTCTACGGTTCTCTTGGGATTGCGAACGTCCGTTATGGATTGTGGGGCATCATCGGCAGAATTTTTGTAAGGTAGAGTCTTGCGTATTCCGGGTGAGTTGGTTTTGCCGAGCGAATCTCCTTCCGATCCGTGTTCATTTTTAAGCGAATTTAAAAGCCACATGCGTGAGATTAAACCGGTTCCGGTCGCTCATCATCACAAACGCAAAATTTTTGTCTATAAAGATATGACGACTTGTACTCACGTATTCGTCAGGGTTGTTCGGGCATTAAAAAAATCTTTGCAATGTCCATATATGGGACCATATAAAATCGTCAATCGAATATCCGATCGGGTTTATGAAATCGATGTGGATGGAACCTCAAAACAAATTTCGGTAGAAAATCTCAAGCCAGCGTATACTGTGCGTGATTCTTCTGAAATTGTAAATTTTGATTTACCATCGACAATTCCCGTAAATATTAACTTAAGATCAAACGATTTATCTCAACGCTCAAGTTCTTTAAAAAATATTGAACCGTGTAAATTACCTCTACCCTCGATTCGTGAGAAGCAGGTCGATCATTTTGATTTAACTAAAAACACAGAATCTTCTATTGTAAAGGAACCTAATATTGTTCTTAAGAAAAAAAAGTTCATTCCTAACATACTTTCTAGGAAAAAAGTAACTTTTCAATGTAAATAATTTTTATTTATTCGATCGAAAAGTATTATCACAGACTTAAGTAATGGTACCAAAAAGACTTAAAATATCAATATTATATTAGATTTATTTATCTTAATTTTTTTTTTTTTATTATTCTTTGTGTGTTTTGTTAAATATGTAAATTTAATATGCGATAGTATGTATGTGTAAAAATTAAGGAAAGATATGTATTAACAAAGGTATGAGAGATAATTCATAAAAGCGTTTAAACCGTCCTACGTACAATGTATGAGTATTATTATTTTTGTTTTTGTAAAATTTTTTTTTATTTATTTACGCTTAATTTTTTTTTTTAAATTTTTCTTTTTGTCTCTTTTTCTCTTATCGTTGTCACTAGGAGGGGAGTGTGTGGCGGTAGGCTTAAGGTTCTATTCACCTAGTGTGATTTAGGCTTAATCTCCCCCTCTCGTGAGTGGGACGAGTGTGAGTTTGTGTGTAATCTCGCCTTACGCATGGCATTCGAGTTTTGTACTCCGAAATAGTCGGTCAAGTTTATTATATATATATAAATCCATGGATTATAATTAAAGTCAATTATTAATTAAATAATGTTGTTCTTATTTTTTGGGTTTTTGGGAAATCACCTATATTAATATTAATTATTAATAAAATTCCCACATTATATTCATACTTTTGAATACACATCTATTATACAGGGTGTTCCAAAAGTATGGAAACTTGCAAATATCTCTAAAAGTACGAATTTTCGTAAAAACTGTTCAAGACAAAAGTTGTTCCAAACAAAAAGATGTACATTTTCGGAATCAAAAAATTGAGCCCGGAGCCCATTCTTGGGCCCTACAATGAAAAAAGGGATTTTCTTAAATGAGACGACTACTTTTCAGTATCAAATTTGTAATCCCCATGAAATTCTGCGTTCAGACATGTGATATAAGTTCCCAAAATATTGGGCCCAATCCAAGATGTTGGGTCCAAAATTTATCTACAGATAAATAAATTATAAAAAATCGCATCTTGGAGGGATTTTTAGATCACAGGATTAGAAATTGGAAGCTAATTTTCCAATTGGGAATAGAGCCCAATGTAAGATTCCGCGTCCCAATGTGGGGCCCACATTAAAAAAATTAGTTGTTTAAATAAAACCCACTAATTTCCAGTATCCATTTTAGAATCTTTATGAAATTCTGGGTTTAGACTTGTAGTACAAAAGCCAAAAATATTGGCCCCAATGTCTGGGATTGGGCTCAACATTTTTTGACAAATAAATAAATTTATAAAATCGCATTTTTGGAGTTTTTGGGGTCACGGGATTAGAAATTCAAAGTTACTTTTCAAATTAGGCACAGAGCCCAATGTAAGATTCTGCAGCCCAATGTGAGACCAAGAGTAAAAAAATTAGTTTCCTTCCATTTCGTAATCGTTATTAAATTCTGGGCTTAGACTTGTGGTTCAAATTCCAAAAATATTGGGCCCTCACATTGAGCTGCAGAATCTTACATTGGGCTCTGTGCTTAATTTGAACAGTAACTTTGAATTTCTAATCCTGTGACCCCAAAAACTCCAAAAATGCGATTTTATAAATTTATTTATTTGTCAAAAAATGTTGAGCCCAATCCCAGACATTGGGGCCAATATTTTTGGCTTCTGTACTACAAGTCTAAACCCAGAATTTCATAAAGATTCTGAAATGGATACTGAAAATTAGTGGGTTTTATTAAAAGAACTAATTTTTTTAATGTGGGCCCCACATTGGGACGCGGAATCTTACATTGGGCTCTATTCCCAATTGGAAAATTAGCTTCCAATTTCTAATCCTGTGATCTAAAAATCCCTCCAAGATGCGATTTTTTATAATTTATTTATCTGTAGATAAATTTTGGACCCAACATCTTGGATTGGGCCCAATATTTTGGGAACTTATATCACATGTCTGAACGCAGAATTTCATGGGGATTACAAATTTGATACTGAAAAGTAGTCGTCTCATTTAAGAAAATCACTTTTTTCATTGTAGGGCCCAAGAATGGGCTCCGGGCTCAATTTTTTGATTCCGAAGATGTACATCTTTTTGTTTGGAACAACTTTTGTCTTGAACATTTTTTACGAAAATTCGTACTTTTAGAGATATTTGCAAGTTTCCATACTTTTGGAACACCCTGTATATCATTAATAAAAGAATACAAAGGCGCTATGTTGGGGAGACTGGAAAGAATTCAGTTCTCATATACCTGCCCGACTGGATATTTGGGAGCACGTCAGTACAGTGTGAGCAATTAATTTATGTGTTGTTATTGTGTCCGAAAGAGGACACCAGGCATATGAAAAGCCTCATTTAGATGTTCACTGGGGAATTGGGTAAAAACGTAAATTCGCCTATTCAGAAGAATTGAAAATGATCAACTTATGCTTAATATATGCAATATATGGATACGGAATAACGTCAGGTTTTAATTGGTACCTTCAGGATTGCAATAACTTTATTTATTTGTAAAATATTTCATTTTTTATTAAAATTAATTAATTAATATCTCGAAAATAACAAAAAAGGACACTTCAATATTTTTTGTGGTGAAAAAACACATTTTTAGCTTTCAAAAAAAAAAATAAAATAAAAAAGACCAAACTTAAAAAAAAATTCGAAAAAATGTTTAATTTTCAAAAAAAGGGTTAAAATTTGAATTTTTTGTACATTTTTTTGCACCATTCGAAAAAGCAGGAAAAAACCTTTCAAAAACATATAGGACAAATATTTCTTCTTCTTTCTGTTTAAAAGTTACAAGTTTTCAAATATTCACTGTTTTAATTTTTCAAAAAAATTCAACCCCCTCCCTCTTCGACAGTTTTTGAAAAAACCTAACAATACTTCGTGGTTAAATTACTCACCCCTAGGGTTAAACTATGTGCAAGTTACAGCCCGATCCGATCACGTTTTTTTCAGTTAGTTCGCTACAGGAATTTTACCCCATATATAGAAAAATTGCAATTTTATAACGCTTGTTAATCATATTAAATACAATAAATAATTTACCTATCATTTTCGGAGGCGGTAAGTTCAAATTGTCCATAATTTTCATAAATTCCTTAAGAGATTTGGTTAATCTTGGGTTAAATTTTTTTTCTTCCGCAACTGTTGTCATTGTTCTTCCAGTATAATCATGAGCAGGATAAACTTTAAAGTTGCCTGGAAGTTTGAATATTACTGAGTGCACTGAATTGTATAACGTTTCAGAACATCCTTCCTAAAAGAACAAAAGAAGAATCATATGCAGTGACGATTGATGTTAAGTATAAAACAATAAAACACGTAAACGTACCATGGGGTTTCAAAGTCTCTAACCAGTAAAATGTAACTTTTTCACCTAACTATTACTAAAAAATCTCAAAATTTTCTGGATTAAAATGTTATATTTAACAATTTTATAAAACATAATACGTTTAGACACTGACCCCCAGAGTCCTCTTTAATGGTTAAACATTATATTAAAAATCTGTTCAAAACCCAAATTTAATATACCATGACGTAACCTTAATTACCAATTGAATGTTAACGTAATTCCGTATTCAACGAGCCCTATATAAGCTATTTTGGATAGTTGATTGTTAATAAACAATTAAATAACATTACAGTTATTTATTAACAATCTACTTATCCAAAATACTTCATATAGGGCTCGTTGGATGCGGAATTACAATAACTTTATTTGGTTGTAAAATATTTCATTTTTTATTAACATTAATTAATTAATATCTCGAAAACATAAAAACGAAATTTTGTTTAATTTGTTTATTAAAAGCCTACATTAAAAAAAATGGTCCTTTATTATAAAAACGTCCAAAATATTTTTGATTTTCAAATAAAGGCACAGTAGCCTAAAAACGAAAATTTTTGGAAAAAATTAATTACTTTAAAATTAGGAGGAATTTAGAAATTTCAATTGTTCTATTTATTGTTTTCGGGGCTACTGATTATGAATCTGACCCAGGTGCGAATTCAAGTCGGCAGCTAGAGTTGGTAGTAGTAGGGGAGCCCACGATGCTAAATGGAGATTTACTCGAGCGTCTATGGGATGAAGATATTTTGTAGTTTAGATGATCAGGAAAATAAAAGGTTTTATAAAGTTTTCCTTTTTTGTGGTGGGGGAAGCGTCTATAAATTTTTTAAAATGCAAAAAAAAACAATTACATGGAAATACTTGAGCGTGTCAGACAATAATAGTTTAGATACTCCAACGTGACTCTGATACCAAAAGTATGTTCATCTGACGGTTTGCCTGGTTCTGTTGGCTTTCCGGATGGATACAAAGTAGAAAAAAAAATTTTTCTTCGAGCGCATCAGATATTTAGGGAAGATGTTTAATTAACCTTAAAAATGCTCCTATTCAAAAGACTGACGTTTCGGAAGTGACGCAAGCTCGTAGCGAATTTTTTAAAATGCAAAAAAAATTGCTATCTTGAAATACTCGAGCGTGTCAGATTTTTATACAGATGGCTCATCTGGATGCTGCAGTCATGATAACTCAAAAACTGACTATTATTTTGAGGAATATTGTTAATCTGCCAGCTGTTTTGTGATCAGCTGTAATGGTGTCATTGCGACGGAGAGCAGTGTCAGAAATCGAGATGGTGAGAGAGAAAGTCAGAAATAGGAAAAAAGTGAAAGGGAAGATGAGGCACGGAGTGGGGAATGCGTGTTGTACTCGAGATGCGCGCACTAATCTCCATAGACGATTTTCATTACTTCGGCTTCTGGAAATCGTAAGATTATATTTTATTCGTGATTCTTATGTTATTTCCTTCAAATTAAAAAAAATTTAACCGTGCTCGAGAATGTCAAGACAACGCTTTTTTTTGCAAATTTACAACCCTCCCACTCCCTTACGTTACGCTCAAATCGACAGATTTTTTAAATGTACACTTTTTAGTCAGTAATTAATCCACCTTCCGTTAATCTGACGCGCTTCGATATTTTCGACGATCGATTTTTTTTACTAATCTGATGGGCAGTCCTAGACGCACATCTTGATAAAAAGAGTTAATACTTGGAACAGGTACTCAACATCATGCAAGGTACCTCCCGCTGTGTCTATCTGCCGCGCTCGAGTTAATCCCAAAAACACATTGGGCTCCTCTACTATAGGTCGGGTAGCCATCTATGGCTGCCAAGACGTCGGCAGCAAAAGTTGTCCCGACTTTGATTAATACTTTCACCCAAAGTTGGGCCGACTATGGCTACCAAAGTCCCAAAAACACACGTGCAAACGGTTCTGTTGATTTACCTGAAACTTGGCAGAATTTTAGGTGTTGGTCTAACTTAAAATCCTACATTTACAGAACTCAAAAATATTTAATAGAACGAGAAATACGTTCCTTTTTTGAAAAATACTGAAAATAAAAAAATTTTCATTTTTGGATAGATTGTTACTAAATTTTATATACCTATTTTTTCAGTGCCATTGTACCGCATTTTAACCTATTTTTGACGTAATTACTGGTAGATCCAAAGAATTTTAAAAATTTCAAAAATTTAATTTTCAAATTTCACAAACTTGTGAAATTAATATTTTTTAGATTCTCATTTAAAATTTCATAAAATTGACGTACATAATCCTTGATTTACAATTGTTTATTAGAATTATAAAATTTCTTACATATACGAAAATAAAAATTTTTTAAAAGTTTTTTATGTTATTTATTTTTAAAATTACTCATTTTAATTACTCCTTTTTTGTAAGCAAAAATGAAAATATTTTATTAATGTGTTACCTCCACGTGGCGCATCTTGGAAATAATGTCCTTGAAAAGTTTTTAAGAACTTAAAATTTCAATGAAATTGGCTAAATACCAATCTAAATCATTACATTTAATATTTCATATACGGAACTAATAGTATGACAATGATAATTTGAAAATTTGACAGTACTGTTGGTGCCCGAGAGCTATGAAATTTTAAATTTTGAGCAATGAAAAATTTAATTATTGATTTAAAATAAAATATTTCAAAGAAATAATATTAGTTTTTCAGTATATTTATGTTTGAAATTTTTTATTGATTTCAAATTTTTTAAAAATTCGAATATATAGAAGGTTTTGTTAAAAAATACTGTTGATACGAAATACTTTCGGTGGCGCACCCCTAGATTTCGGAACGTGCTGAAGGCGGGTCCGAAAGCTAGTTATTATTATTATTCCAATTGCTAATAAAAATAAAAATAATAATAATTAAATTTTATGAAGAGAAAATACGTAATTTTCTGAAAAAAATCGTTTTTGATTCATCAAAATTGGTTGAAAATTGACCGAGATATAAAGGAAAGAAAAAAAATGCAGTATAAAAATTAAAAGTGATATAACTCCTACATTTTTAGATATTTTAAAAATTCCTTTTACTTACACATTGCTCTTATATAAAGCTATAATTTTACCAAGTGTCATTCAAATCGAAGAACCACTTGCAGATTCTGATATTTCTGACGTGGACTTACCCATAGATTTTTCAAAATTAAAAAATTTTATTTTGAATGCTCATAACTTGCTTTAACAAGGTGTTCATTTTATGATTATTTAGCTTCCTAATCATGGTACATTTATTTTCAAGATTAAAAGAAGGATTACAACTAATAAAATAGTAATTAAGAGTGTACAACGGTCTGGTAAACTTTTAAACTAACACACTCTAACCTTATGTACATGTGACGAGCCCCTTGAGATTTTATCAAAAATATACGGCACTTACAGGGAAAATGTCACTGCTTTAAGGAATGCAAATGTTTGAATAATTGTAGAAGATAATGTAGAGAATTTTTAAAAAATCGGTGAACTTACCGTCATGAGGAATGTATTAAACTGATTGTGTATTAAATTTGGTTTAATTTTATTTAGAAATGTTTCTTAAAAACTGAAAATACTAAAGAGAAATTTACGAACAGAAATAAAAATGGCTGTAATTTGTCCAGTTTATTGTTTTTGTTACCATGCGGGTGCGAGATACGAGGCGCACGCGAGTTAGTTACCATCGCGGTTGTGAGTGTTGTTGTAATTCGCCGGCGAGAGTGCAGCACCGTGAAATGGACAAGTGTCAAAATACGAGAAACGCATAAAAACGACATTGAACCGGTGTTTCATCTTCAAGAAGATGTCTGGTAAGTACGAATTTATATTTATTTTTATATATATAATTTATAAATAGCAGAAAAAGTTGCTCAAAAATCTTGTGAATTTTAATTGTTGTTTTTATTATAATTATTTAAAAACATATTTTACATGATTAATCGCATAAGCAAGTATTTTTATTTTTCGAGGAAAGATTTTTCTTGTCAAAATATAAAGATTTAGTTTATATTTGAAAAATTGTTTGTTTGTCGTTAGGTTATTTTTATAAGTCTGTTTTTTTCAAATTAAAATGTATGTTTTTTATTTTTCATATTATGTTTTTGTATGTTCTAATTTACTTATTGTCTGGTTTGTACATTTTGACACGTGCTTCTTGTGTGAATTTCACCTTTTTTTCTTTTTTTTCATCATTAAATTCCCATGTTTTAATTTTATATTTAATTTTGCTTATTTAATAAATACGTTATTATAATCAAAAGGACATTTTTAGCTTTATTAACAATTTTTTTATTTGTCAACAGCAAGAAGAAGCAAAAGTGGAGATCGATTTGTAAATGAGGAAGACGAATATTTAAGTTATGGTTTGTATTTAAAAATAGTTAAATTTGATTTTTTTAATAAATATAAATAATAAATATATAAATTAAATATAATGATAAATATATCGTTTTGTTAATTTTTAGATAATGGACATAGTGCCAGTGAAGAGGAGGAAGTGTTTTACAGTTGTGGTATGTTTTTAAAAAATAATTTTCTATTTTTCAATAAAAATTTAAAATAATAATAAATAATAATGCAAAATTTTAATTAAAAAGGATTTTTTTTAGAAAAATTGTACAATTTGAGGAGTGCAGTAAATTCATTTTTGTTCATTCGACATAAGAATATTAAAATTTTAATTTTTTCAGATGAAATTGAAGTTACGGAAAATTTTGCAGTGCAGGAGAAGGAGAAAAGAAAAAGATGCTATTAGTAAGAACCTTCTTTTTTATTTTCATTTAAATGAATTTTGAAAATTTGTTGCAATTAAAAAAAAATTTTAACTCTTTTCAATTATCAAAATTATGTCTTGTAAAAATCACATCCGTTAAACAATTTTTATAATAGATAAATTATTGAAAATTTTTAA